TCCTGAAGAAGGGTCTAGGCCCGAAAAGTCAGCCTTCCTGCTCCTCTGATGCTGCTTGGCCTGCTGTGTTCATCCAGCTCTACACCTTGTTATCTAGGATGGATCATGCAATGGGAGGTGGGGGTGAAGGGCTAAGAACAGGCCATTCAACCCATCCAGCCTGGTCCATCATTCAAATTTGAGCATACCTGAATTGTTCCTCCAGTTCTGTAGCCCTCAGTACCTTGTGCCTTAAAAACACACCCTTCTGCCTTGGTTTTTAAATTTTCTATTGACTGTTAGCCTTCGGGAAAGGAGAGTTCTGATTTTCTACTCCCTTTCTGACACCTGCTGTACAAATGATATTATTAAATTGGAGAAGGTTCAGAAAAGATTTACCAGGATGTTGCCGGGAATGGAAGGTTTGTGTTATAGAGATAGGCTGGGACCTTTCCTCACTGAAGTGTCAGAGGCTGAGGGGTGACCTTATAGAGGTTTATAAAATCATGATGGGCATGGATATGCTGAATAGCCAAGGTCTTTTCTCTAGGGTGGGGGAGTTCAGAACTATAGGGTATAGGTTTAAGGCGAGAGGCGAAAGATTTAAAAGGGACCTAAAGGGTAACTTTTTCACACGGGGTGGTGTGTGTATGGAATGAACCGCCAGAGGAAGTGGTACAGGCAGGTACAATTACAATATTTAGTAGCCCTTTGGGCAGCTACATGGGTAGGAAAGATTTAGAGGGATATGGTCCAAACGCAGGCAAACAGAACTGGTTTAGTTTGGGAAACTTGGTCAGCATGGACGAGTTGGACTGAAGAGTCTGTTTCTGTGCTGTATAACTCTGACAGTATAGAGGGAGGTTTACTCCATATCTAACCAGTGCTGTCCCTGCTCTGGGACTGTTTGATGGGAACAGTGTTGAGGAAACAGAAGATGGTAAGGATTGTCTTGCTTCCATCTCTAGCTTTTGTCTACATTGCATCTTTCCTGCTGTCAGTGTGAGGGGGTGGGGTGAATGCTCACTTTGTGTGATCCTGTGTTTGGATTGCTTTTTGTTCTGGTGAAGTGTCACTGACTGTGATCTGTGTGCGCACGCGTGTCTCTATGCAAGTGTGTCTGTAGCACTGGCCTTGTCCTCCCCCACAGATGATGTCCCGGTCGTGCAATATGGTGAACGGCTGTGAGTTTCCAGCTCCGTGTAACATTCCCATCTCTGGGAACAATCTCCAGATGGTCACGATGCTGAAGGAGCAAAATCGGCTGCTGACCCAGGTAAGGACCAGCACAGTGAGGCCATTCAGCCCTTCAAACCTACCCTATGATGATAACTGACTGGTGTGGTAACTCTGTTTCCCTTTATCCCTCACTCAACAAATATTCTTCGATTTCAACACATCAGATTGTCATTGAACCGCCAGCTGTTTTGTGGGGGGAAGAGGATGTGCTCCCATTTGAGGTCAATCCCCCTCCCCTTGTTCTGGATTGTCCCTTCACAGGGAGTAGTTTCTCTCTCTATCGATCCAATCGGATCCTTTTAATCATCTTAAACAGCTCTATGGGATCATCCTTTATTCCATGTTCAGGGAACACTAGTCTCATCTGTAACCTGAATGGGAGACTGAGGCGAAGGGAAGAGCCCATGGGATCCAAGGAAATCTTGGGGGGAGGGTGAGGGGGTGCAAATTGGATCTAGTATCAGCTAAGTGGCAGGAAGCAGGTGATGGTGGTTGATGTGTGTTTTCACAGTGTTCAGTGGGATTCGATAAGTATCAATGTTGGGGCACTTGCTGTTTGTGGTTTATAGAAATGATTTATACCTGAATATAGGAGGATTAATCAGTAACTTTGCAGCTGATACAAAAATTGATGTGGTGGTAAATAGTGAGGAGGATAGCCTTAGATTACAGGAGCATATAGACAAGCTGGTCTGATAAGTGATAATGGAGTTCAATCCAGATAAATGTGAGGTGATACACTTGGGTAGGACAAACAAGGCAAATGATGAATGACAAGGCTCTGGGAAGCACTGAGGATCAGAGGGACCTTGGTTTGTATGTCCGGCAGTCTACCTGAAGGAAGCAGGACAGATGTATAACATGATTAAGAAGGTATACGGGATATGCCATCTATGGCTCTAACTCTATAACTGAGATTGTTGACTTGTTCGCCGAGCTGGCTTGTTCTCGTTCAGATGTTTTGTCACCATGCTAGATGACATCATCTGTGGAGCCTCAGATGAAGCGATGTTATTCTACTCTGCTTGGAATTTATACTGTTTGGTCCGTTATGGTGAGTACTGTCATTTTCGGTTTTGTTCTGAATGGGTTTGTATATGGGGTCATATACCTTGTCCCAGTTAAACTGATGGCCTTCAATGTCTGAGTGTACAGATATTAAGGAGAGTTCATCATGCCATTTTGCTGCTACACAAAATCCTCACTATAAACGGATATCCCTGCAACTTCATCCTCAGATGCCTTCAAAATAGGCAACAACAGAAGGACACAGTACACCCTAACACACTGGCCACACTGCCCTACATCAAGAACATATCGGAACTGACAAGACTCCTAAGACCACTAGGAATCATGGAGGCCCACAAGCCCACAGCCACTCTACAACAAGCACTTATAAGGATTAAAGACCCCATTCCCACAACATGCAGAACCAACGTGATTTACAAAATACCATGCAACAATTGCCACAAATATTACATCGGACAGACAGGAAGGAAACTAGCCATCAGAATATACGAACATCAGCTAGCAGCAAAATGGCATGACAAACGCTCCTTAGTATCAGTACACTCAGACAATGAAGACCATCAGTTTAACTGGGACAAGGTAACCATAGTAGCTCAAGCCAAACATAGACGCACGGGAATGCCTAGAGGCATGGTTCTCCACCCATACTTCAGTCAACAAACATATAGAATTGGACCCCATATACAAACCCATACAGATCAAAACCAGAAATGACAGTACTCACCATAACGGACCAAGCAGTATAAATTCCAAGCAGAGTAGAATAACATCGCTTCTTCGGAGACTTCACTGATGATGTCACCTAGCATGGTGACGAAACATCTGAACAAAAACAAACCAGTTCGGCGAGCAAATCAACAACCTCACTCTCAAACCGAGGTACAGATCTGTGCCAAAACTTTAACTCTGTGACTGGTACGCAACTTCCAGTGTTTCTATTCCAGCCCATTGTATTCCCATCCATTCACCTTTCTCGCTCTGGTTTGTACCTACTCACTTGTTTTAGTGATTTCTGTACTCAGACCCATAAATCTCTGCTCGCCCACAGTTCTGAGCTTCTCCGCCACTGATAAAACTCCCTTCCTTGCCACCAAAATGGATGAGCTCCCACTTTCTCACATTGAACTCTGTCTCCACAGTCAGAGCCACTCACTCAATCTTTCTCACTCAATCTCACTCACTCCAGCTCAGTCCCCCCTTTGCAAATTCTAATCCCAGTGACAGTAATTACTGTGAAACCTAATTCTCTTTTGTCAGCAAATTTTGTTATGTGCCTGTGCACTCTGATATCCAAACATATCAATCCATCCAGTGAAGGCTGCAGTCCCATACAGGAGGCTAGAGGGCACCAGTAAACCCATCCTGGCAATCAATACGTTCCCATTAGCCTCCTACATCCAAACCAGTTACCTCCAGGTGCACATGCTCTCAATTTTGAGTTCACAGTCTCTTATAAGAGAACTTCTAGAATATCTTCTGGAAGTTCAAAAAAACAACATTCATACATGCAGGTATTCCCTCACTAATCATGTTAATTACCTCCTCAAAATATTCAATTGGCTTCAGTGGATAAGAGTTACCATTTTATAAAGTCATACTAGTTCTCTCGAGAGGAATGTACTTTAGTAAATGTTCAGGCACTCTGTCCTGAAGAAACGTTTACCCACAATAAATCTCAAGGTCTACAATTTTCCAGCTCCTCTCTTAATTTATCCGTTAAGGAGGGAGCGTGGCGTGGGACCGCTCGGTTACTGAGGGAGCGTGGCGTGGGATCGCTCGGTTACTGAGGGAGCGTGAGGTGGGATCGCTCGGT